CCTTAGAATGCATTAATAACCATAAAACGATTTTTCGAAAAGACGCAACCCTAAGAGACATCAACAACTAAAACTAATTTTTTCGAAAAGACACAAACCTAAGGAACACTAGTAACCATGAAACAAAACTCTAGTATTAATAACCTAGAATGTAAACTATCATAAAGTTTTTCGAGAAGATATATCTTTACGTAAACCAATTTTTTCCGAAAAGACGCAACCCTATAGGATGCATTAATAAAAATAAAACCAAAGTTCTCAAAAAACGCAACCTTATGATGTATTAATAACTACAAAATGGTTTTTATTAAGAAGACACAATCAAATCATGTATTAATAACCATAAAACGGTTTCTTTGGAAAGCCACAATTCTCAGGGACATTGCTAACCATAAAAATATCAAAAAGACGTAACTCTTAGAGATTAATAAACATAAAACAAATTCTTTTTTTTAAACCCAATCCTAAGAAACATTAATAACCGTAAAATAATTTTTTTAAAAAGACGCAACCTAAGAGACACTATAACCATAAAACGGTTTTAAAAAAAATGTGTAACCCTAAAAGACACTAATAACCATAAAACATTTTTTCTGGAAAGACACGACTCTGGCGTTAATAAACAAGGATTACTATTATTGATAGACGTGAGCTTTCAAAATATTTTCTAGAATTATTATTTAAATAAAGAAACAAAATAATGTGAGACTCAAAAACAATTTTTGACATTTTTTTATCACATCATGTTTTGAGAGTCATAAATGAAAAAATGTTCAATGAAACAAATATATAGAGTTAGAAAAACACAAATTTATATAGCGGTGTTTTTTTAAAAGATGCAACCATATAGATTAAAAATCATAAAACGTCTTTTTCGAAATAACGTAACCCTAAAAGACATTAATAACCATAATGGAATATCTTGAAAAGACGAAACCCTAGTATTAACAACCATAAATATAGGTCAAACGGTCTTTTTCCGAAAAAGCAACCCTTGAAAATAACCATAAAGTGAAAATACGTAATTTTTGGAAATCGGTTACTTTCGAAAGGACACAACCATAAAGCAGTTATATTAAAAATATGCATCCCTTGGAAATAACCATAAAGTGGTTATATTGAAAAAATACAATCTTTGAAAATAACCATAAAACGATTATTTTTGAAAGAACACAATCATAAAGCGGTTATCTACATATTAAATGCAATTTTTGGAAATAATTAGAAAGCGGTTACATCAAAAAGATGCAACTCTTGGAAATAACAATCATAACGGTTTTTTTTCTAAAGGACACAATCTTAAATAAGCATAAAACGGTTATATAAAAAATGTAACTTTTGAAAAACCGGTTATATAAAAATCAGGCAACTCTTAGAAATAATTATAAAGCGGTTATATTGAAAAGACGCAACCTTTGAAAATAATAAATATTTTTTTCTGAAAAGACGCAATTTTTGAAAATAACGACAAAGTGGTTATTTTCGAAAGAACACAACCATAAAACGGTTATCTATATAGTAGATACAATTTTTGAAAATAACCATTATATGGTTTTTTTTTTTGTCAAAAACGCAACTCTTAAAAGAATGGTTATATAAAAGACGCAACCCTTAGAAATAACCATTAAACGGTTATTTGCGAAAAGACACAACCTTAAATAAGCATAAAGCGGTTATAACAAAAATGGAACTCTTGTAAAATCGGTTATATGGAAAAAACGCAACCCTTGGTCTACAAAAAAACTTTTTTCCTTCCTCACTCATTTCACGGATTGGAACCATAGTTATTCGTCCAACCAATAGAATAATTCATGGATTAAATTGATTCATTTGTAATTTAGCATTTTTAAATCGTCCAATGCATATAAAAAGGGAGCAATTACAAAAATGCTACTTTTTGTGTGCACATTTGCAAGAATGCCACTTAGGGGTGTCCATTTACAAAAATGCCACTAATTATAGATTTATAAAGCCTATATCTTAAAATTCTAAACCCTAAAAAATGTTTTGACACCTAAAACCCCATAAACACTCAAAACTAAACCCTAATAGAATATAATTAACTCAAACATAAATAATATAAAGAAAACATAATTTTGAAAAAGTGATATTTTGGTAAAGATTTCAAAAGTGTGGTATTTTTGTAAAGTGGCACTTGAAAAGTGGCATTTTTTGAAATTTCTCTATAAAAAATATTGGTGATAACCAAATTTCTTGTGGGTGCCTCTATTTTGTAGTAATGTTTACGCAGCTTCAATATTTCGATATATACAACCCGTAAAAACTTTTTCCAAATATAAAAAATCAAGATTTCCGTAGAGAATTGTTAAATCTAAAAATTCACTATATGTACCACCTATTTCCAAAAAAAAATATAGTTGGCGATTTTATTAGTTTTTTTTATATGTTGCCATAAAATTTGATTGTCTAAGAAAATCCAAAATTTTTTACACAAATCAAGAATTTTTGGAACTTCTACAATAGTAAAAGATTAATACTATTAAATAATTTGAAAATAATCAAACGACGTTTTTTTTATCTTTCCTATGTGTTAAGTAAATTACGTAATCAATAGGCATGATTAACAAAATGTTTAACGGGATAAAAAGTTAAAAGATATTATATATAGGCGAAACGGTTTGTTTCGAAAAGACGCAACCCTTATAAATAACGGTAAATGGGTTATGTCGAAAAGACGCAACTCTTGACAAAACAGTTATATTGAGAAGACGCAACTTTTAGAAATAAACACCAAACAAAATTTTTACGAAAAGACACAACATTTCGAAAAGACGCAACTCTTAAAAACAACCACTATATATAAACCGAGAAGATACAACAAAAAAATAATCATTTTTTTTGGATTTGCTATTATATATAGATAAAATAAGTTTTGATGGGTTAACTGAGTTGTTACATGTTATTAACTAAATGTTTTTGGATAAATGTTAGTCTAGTAATATATAAACAAATTAGTGCTAATCTGAGTAATTTTCTCTTTTAATTAATATTGTCATCTTTTATATTTAACAGGGTTTATCAATAACAAAATTCCATTGATATATGCTGCATCTGCTTCCGCGATTGTGATCATTCTAGTAGTATTGTTTCTCATTTGCGTGTGCAAAAAGAAAAAGGGACCAAGTCGTGTGGAAGGTACTTAAAGAGACTCTAATCAAATCAACAAATATACATTACAAACTATCACATGTATTGACTTTATACTACTAAATATTTTTTTCCACAGATATACCCCCTTCACCAGTTTCATCTACTAGTAAATCTGAAGAATTGATCAAGACGGAAAAGAAAAAGTTTACTTATTCTGAGGTTACTTTGAAAGAGCTCTTGGTGAAGGAGGCTTGGCGTCGTCTATCATGGTTATTTGAATGATTCAGAGCAAGTAGCTGTCAAAGTACTCTCCCAGTCATCATCACAAGGCTATAAACATTTCAAGGCAGAGGTATATAATCATTTAAATCTTCCCCAAGCGTCTTATACAGAAAATTTTATGTGAGTGAATATTTATGCATCATGCTAGCTAAGCTAATGTTTTAGATATAATTCTTCATTGTCGGTATGCAGATTGAACTTCTGATGAGAGTTCACCACATAAACTTGGTAAGCCTTGTCGGGTATTGCGATGAACGAGGTCATTTGGCTCTCATCTACGAATACATGTCTAATGTAGACTTAAAACATCATTTGTCAGGTGATAAATGTATATATTTCTTTGTTAGTGCAAAAATTATATGATATCTGATTTAGATGATACAATATAGGAAAACACGATGGGGCTATTCTGAAGCGGAGTACGCGATTAAGAATAGCCATTGATGCCGCACTAGGTTCCTACTAACTCAAAATAGTTCTAAGTCACTTTGTTTGTCTAAGCAAAACATTTTTTGTGATCATTGAACATTGATCAAACCCCATCTAAACCAGTCATGAAACATTTTTAAACACTTTATTTATTTTTATTTTTTTGTGAAAACAGG